GTAAATTAAATTGATTTTCACGATATATCTTCCGATTAGAGTGCAGGGATGAAATCCTCTAATTGTGTTATAAAAATGAATAATTGATATGATTGATCCAATCCAATTGAAAGAATTTTGATGCTTCACTGCTTCGAATTATTGATTTTAATTCCACATTTCAACATTGAATTTTATTACACATTTGAGAGAACAATTCAGTATTTTTTATTCTTTAAATATTTTTTCATTTTCATGTGGATATGACACCCCAAAACTGCACTACAACTACCGTGTTAAATATTCAATTGTCGGGGAGACGATACAATTAGTTGAAGGATCATCTAGCAAAATGGTGACTTCGTTCCCTTTTTCAATTTCATTTTTTGTTAGTTTGTTATATTTCTTTATTATTTGTTTTTCTCACATCATTTCCTTTTAATTGTGCTTTATGAGCAGGTATCGGGACGAGCGAGGAAGATTTGTGGAAACATCTCTCATAGAGTTTGAACATTTTTTTAACCATGTTTTTAATTCTGCATCTATTAACACGAACACCACATCACATAACACAATGTCTGATAGTGAGCATGATGCACCATATAGAATTTTGCATGATTACCTGCACCCCATGCGCACATCTACACCTTCATGTATTATGTTTCCACCCAATATATTACGTGTAGATTTTAAACCTGGAAGGATTCAATTTATTCCCAATTTCCATGGACTTGAAAATGAGAATCCGTACGTGCATATTAGGGAATTCGAGGAGGTAGTAGCAACTTTTCACAATCAACATGGTACGATGGATGCAATTAGACTTAAATTCTTCCCATTTTCTCTTAAAGAAATTGCAAAAAGCTGATTGTAATAATTGAGACCACGTTCGATTGGAACTTGGGTTGAAATGACCCAAGCGTTCTTTGGCAAATACTTTCCCCACCACAAAACAATTGCGTTGAAAAAGAAAATCTCTTCTTTTATCCAAAAGGAGAGTGAAACTTTATATCAAGCATGGGAAATGTATAAAAAAACTCCAAGATCTTTGTTCCCACCATGGTTATGAGAGTTGGCGTATCGTGAGCTATTTCTATGAAGGGTTAACACCTAGGGAGCGTCAGTTTGTTGAGATGATGTGTAATGACGATTTCCTACAAAAAGATCTAGATGAGGCTATAGGAGATTTAGATGATTTAGCTGAAAAACCCCATACTTGAATTGGACCTAGTGCCACCGAGAGTACTAATAGGTCACGACCCGCAAGTAACCCTACTAGCACATGTATGTATCATCTTAGAGAGGGGGATAGCCTTAGAGCAAAAGTAGAAGCCCTAACTAAAGAACTTGAAACCCTACATGCTAAAGGCTCGAAACCTATACAGAATGTATCCTGTGTTGAGTCTAGTGGAAATTGTTTTGTGTGTGGTGGAAGTGACCACCCTATGCAAGAGTGCGCTACTTATGCTGAGATGAGGGAACTTTTTGAGCAACATTATAATGCTTTAGGCATCTATGAAAAGCCCTACACCCCCCACTCCGAAACCTATAACGCAGGGTGGCAGAATCACCTCAATTTCAGTTGGAAACCTGAAAACCAACAATCTACTCAGCAAAATCGAGCTTACAATATACCTCCACCTCAATTCACAACCTTCAGAAATTCCTTAGAAGACAACTTACATGCATTTATCGAGGGACGGGATAAAACGAACCAAAAGTTTGAAACTATGATTAGCCAGATAGTCGAGGAAAATAAGGAGATAAAAAGTTATATGTCTAAATTAACCAGTATTTTAGCTATAGGGGAGCGTGTGAAATTTTCAGTTCAAGCTCAACCAAATGCTAAGGGGCAACACATGGCACAAACGTCGAGATCAAGAGAACCTAACTTTAAGGAAGTAAATGACATAACCACTCGTTCAGGGAAGGTCTTAGAACCAACTCTCAAACCTAGGGAAAATGAGATTGAGTCCAATGCGTCAAATGAGAATAACCCTAGTGAGGAGGTAGTAAAGAGTCCAGTCAGAGTGCCCTTCCCTCAAGTTCTTAAGTTTACCTCAAAATCTGTTGGCCATCATAGTGAGATCTTAGAGCACCTAAAGTAAGTAAAAATCAATATGCCGTTCTCACATGTGATTTCACAAGTTCTTACCTATGCTAAAGTCCTTAAGGACTTTTGCATTGTAAAAAGGAAACACTATTCCAAGAAAACCACTTTCTTGATTGAACACATGAGTGCTGTGATTGAGCAAAGGACTCCACCAAAGTATAAAGATCCTGGTTGCCCTACTGATTCGTGCATCATCGAGAATCATGAGATTGGACAAGCCCTTCTTGATCTATTGGCCAGTGTCAACATCATGCCTTATGTAATTTACTTGTCATTAGGTTTAGGAAGGATGAAATCTACATCCGTAAGTCTACAATTGGCTGATCGGTCCACTATAAGACCAAGAGGTATAGTTGAGGATGTCTTAGTATAAATCGATAAATTTTACTACCCTATTAATTTCTTGATTTTAGACTTAAAAGTGGATGTAAATGTTAATTCTAAGATTACTATCATTCTTGGTAGACCATTCCTTACCACGGCTAATGCTTTTATATATTGTAGGAAC